GCCCCATCTGCACTCTCTCACAGGTGGTTTCCTGGAGTAGTAGAAGGTAGTTTCAAAGTGAGTACTTTGACTCGTCTTCCTCTTCTTCTCCCTCCTCCTCTCTTTCCTCTTTTCTTCTATGAAATGTTTCCTGGGCTTCCACAGCCTAACGAGTACTAGGCACATTTCCAGGGTAAATACACCTCTTACTAAACCAGTCGACTCTGTGTTGTAAACAAAGGGATGGCCAGACAGGAGGGAGACTTGCTGCCAGTTGGGCACGGTCGATCTGTGGTCCGTGGTGGCTGTTTTCTAGAGAAGCAGCAAGGGGTGACGGTGAACAGAAGAATAAGTAAGGGTGTTCCAAAGCCAGGAAGATGAAGTAGTCGTTCAAGGAAAACAATACAAATCCAACTGCTCACTCAGGAATGATTTCCGCTACTTGGGCTTTAGGAACCCCTGGCCCCACCTCGTGCCATGGCTGAATTCGAGGAAGCCCTTCTCATTGAGCTCCCAGGGGGTTTTATATATAACACCAGCCTCGGTCCTTCTGCTTAGGTGGAAACCACTTCCAGACCAAACTCCCTGCTGCCGAGTCAATGCCCACTCTGTAGGACAGGGTGGATCAGCCCCTATAGGACAGGGTGGATCAGCCCCTATAGGACAGAGTGGATCAGCCCTATAGGACAGGGTGGATCAGCCCCTATAGGACAGGGTGGATCAGCCCCTATAGGACAGGGTGGATCAGCCCCTGTAGGACAGGGTAGATCAGCCCTATAGGACAGGGTAGATCAGCCCCTATAGGACAGGGTGGATCAGCCCCTATAGGACAGGGTGGATCAGCCCCTATAGGACAGGGTGGATCAGCCCCTGCGGGTTTCTGAGACGGTCACTCTTTATGGGAGCAGAGAGCCCCGTCTTTTGTAGAGCAGCTGGTGGGTTCAAACTGCTGACCTTGTGGTTAGCAGCCTGAAATGCCCCCTCCATGCCAACAGAGCTCCTTATAACATCTTACAATGTTCTAAGTAATCAAAAAGACTGATTTATTATGAGATGGGTTTTTACATACTCACATAGGACCGATAGGAAGTTTATAGCTTTGAAATAGTAATTCTTTCCTGGGTGTTGACCCTACTAGGCCCTGTGTTGAGGACCGAGGACACCCGTGCATAAGACCTGGCCCATGCCTTCATGCTGGATGCAGTGGGAGCGAATGTTCCCGCAACACGCACGCTGCATGCCGACCAGAAGTGCTGTGGCGAAAGCGGGCGGTTCCCGATGGCTGCGTGTCCCTGAGGCTCCCTGCTAAGGTTCCTCGGGCAGACAGGAGGCGACTTTGGACATTTCAGAACTGACCTTTCTATATAGACGACATTTAAGACCCTGGGGGTGCGGGGTAGGAGATAGAAGCCATAGAGGAAGAAAGGAAGAGAGGCCTACACTGTGTTTTAGTTTACTTACTGGACATTTATGTGCCGGGAACTCAGCTGTGGGCAGACAGAACCCCCTGGCTGGCGGGGTCTCCTCAAGCCGCCTGTGCATGTTGAGGCAGCTGCTCAGTGTCTGTTACATGCTTTGGGCCTCAAGCCCCAGACGCCACAGCAGTGACTTAAGCTGTAAGAAGCCAGTGGCATGCCAGCCAACAAGGCCTCAGATTGAGTGGCTGCCCGGCTGGGGGCATCCTGGCCCCAGGATTTCCTATTGCTTTACCGTCCTCGGCACACGCGACGCTCCCCTGGTGGTGACAGGAGGCCTGCCGCAATCCCAGACCCCGTGCCCTAACACAGTATTCTCACGTGGAGAGAGAGCTCATCACCGTGCTCCACCTCCTTTTTAAAGAAAAAGAACAAAGTCTTGTTTGGAAGTCGCCCAGTAGACTTCTCGTGCCTCCTCGGCCAGCGTGGTTTCCTGGACTCCCTTTCTGTTAGCCACTGGTCTATGATTTGAGCTTCCAAAGGGAACAGACTGTAGGGGCGAGGGAGGGAAGATGAAGGAATAGGCTAGAGGGTGGACAGCTATTATTAACTTGGGTGAAGGGCTAACTAGTAATTCACCACAGGGAGAAGAGAACTCAGAGTAGGCGGGGAGAAGGGTGAGTTATTGGGGTGCAATGGCGGTGGGTGAGGGGTAGTTGATAACGAGCTTCAACTGATGAATACGAAATAGGTGATCTGAAATGTGAAACCCTCCCCTCGTTCGCAGTGGAAACGTGGTGACAGTGCTGGGAAATGCACGCGCATGACGTGTTCAATCGTCGTCTGTCTGTCTGTTTTTCAGAGCGGAAGAGATCCCTCTGAAGATCTTGGCCCACAATGGCTTGGTGGGAAGACTTATCGGAAAGGAAGGCAGAAACCTGAAGAAAATCGAACACGAGACAGGAACCAAGATAACCATCTCATCGTAAGCCGTGCATTTGTACGAATTGTGCCAGATACTGGTATCTGACTCTAGCCAGCTCCTCGGGCTGCTCTTCCCTGCACCGGGAGCGCACCGTGGGCGCTGTGCTTACCTCCACCGCGTCGGTAGTTCCCAGTCAGACCCTTTGCACCGTATGCGATTCCAGATAGAAACACAGGTTTGCTACACCGCGGAGTGTACCCAGAGCATCCGGGCCCCTCCCCACCTCCTCCTCCTCCTCCTCATTCAGGAATTTAATTTTCCTTTTGATAAAGAAGTCGTTTCCTCTCTCCTGTTGGCCAGCTTGCAGGACCTGAGCATCTACAACCCGGAGAGAACCATCACTGTGAAGGGGACGGTGGACGCCTGTGCCAGTGCCGAGGTAGAGATCATGAAGAAGCTGCGCGAGGCCTTCGAAAACGATATGCTGACCGTGAACGTGAGTGCCCGGCGCCTGCCTCTCCTCCAGGGGGGTCTCCACACGTGCTCCCCTGCAGGACCCCTGCTCTCTGGGAATAACTGCCGCTCAGCCAGGGAGGAAGCTCCTGGGAGCAGAGGCACAGAGCTCCCTGGCCTTGTGCAACTCAGGGCACGCACAGGGAGGAAGCCAGCTGGTCCGTCGGACGGAACTGTTGTACCCAGCTGCAGGAAGTGACAGCAACGAAGGTCTGCAAAACACAGAGGCGCCGATGCTGGGGCGTTAAGTGAAAGTATCTGTAACAGGGATCAGAAAAGAAGGACACGACAGGAAGGCTGCCCCTAAAGACAGCAGCGGGCTCTCGCTCTACCTTCCACACTTTCTAGAAAGCTGTGATTCGCCTTCTCTGATGTGGCCTTGTGACCTTTCAAACGTCTTGAGTACGTTATTTTTTCCAAATTCACTTCTGATGGTCCTCTCTTGCTTGCTGATGTGCACCTTCAGACAGCGCCAAAATTGTTCCCCGTCACTGGAGCCCACCCCCCACCCCCCACTTCTTGCAGCTCACTGGGGTGTACAGGCTTTGCTGTTGGCTCTGCTCTGTGATGGGGAGAACGTCAGAATGTCTTTAAATCGGTCCATCAGCAAAGCCCAAGTTCAGCTCGGAAGAGTAACATTTTTTACATTCTTAAGATGATTTTCAAGGTAGACACAGACAAGGAAAGGCTACTGCAGTAAGTCCTCCTGTTCCGTTTCAACAGTTTCCACCATGACCAGCCCTCAGCCAAAGCCCCACTCCCCTTGGATGACCTTGATGCGAATCCCAGGCCTGGTAACATTGCTTAGATGTTGACCAAGGAATAAAAGGTGGCCCAGCTGGCCCCTGGCTCCTTCCCTGCAGCACCGTCCCCCGCACCCTCCTGCTCATGTCACTGCTTCTTCCACGCTCACCTGGCCCTCCTCACCCAGTCCCCACCCCAGAGCCCACCTTGGCGGGTGCTGGGGGTGCTGGCAGAGGGGGCTGCAGTGGGACCTTCCCTCCACATGTACAGGTTCTCGACAGGCAGCCCGCGACGGCAGGTGTCAGTGAACATGTAATTCGGTGACCCCACGCCCCTCTTTGGGCTCTCGGCCTCTTGATAACGATCCCTTTCTGTGAAGGACGTTACAGAGGGGCTGTGTGTGCTGACCACTCACTCAGAGTTGTTCACGTCTGCACCCAAGTCATGCATTGGTAGGTGACTAACAAAACGGCTGCACGCCTGCAGCTCTCCGACGCGGTGCAGCTGGGAGATCTTAGCTCTGCGTTCCCAGGTGTTCTAGAAGAATGCTGGTTCTTGCGTGACCCTCGTGACAGGTTTTTTTAAAAGAAAAGAAACTCTGAGGAGAGCTGCTGAGTGTCCAGGAAGACAAAGGTGGGGGCAGGTTGTACCCAGGCTGGGGGAGGGTGGCCGCATCGCTCCGCCTTGCAGGGCTGTGTAAGTGAGGCTCCCACACGCCAGCATGCTGACATGTGAACTAAGCCAATAAGTGATAGGATCGTGGAGCCATCCACAGGCTGGGGACAGATGGCATTGACATGTGTGGTGTTGGAGAGAAACATCTGTGCTTTTCCTGGGTAGGAAAAACTCAGTGGTTAGACCAAGTGCTTTGAAGTGTACTTGTAACCGATTCCTCTGTGCCAGGCACTGAGAACACCATGCAAAGTAAGGCAACCTCTGCCCCCGAGGAGATTGGATCCTAAAAGGGAGAGAAAAGATGAACCAGGCATGGCAAAGGCATACGGCAGGCATTGCTTTAGGAAAACACAGGAATGTTAGAGAGCAAGGGAGGGCACATAGGGGTGCGAGAAGGCCACTGGGAGAGGTGACATCTGGACTCAGGTGGAGCCCACAGAGTCGGCAGGACCTCGCCTGGTGAATAGGGACAGACCTGCCCTTCTTGCAGGACAGACAAGTGTGGGTAGAGTCTCACAGGTGGGGAGAGCATTGGGGCTGTTTAGAGACCAGGTGTTAGCTGGGTGAAGGGGCGTGCACAAGAAAGGTTCTGATGATGTGGCCTGGACCCCTTAGGAAGAGCCTGGTTTACCAGGTTGTGCAGACTTTCCCAAGGGTGAGAGAACCCCAACATCAGGCCGAGGTTTGGGGAACCTCCCTGCACCTAGACACAGGGCTAGGGGAAGACGGACCAGGGGACAAAGATGCTGCCCTGCCAAGATGGATGGTGGAGCCTGACAATTGAAGACACAGGGCTAGGGGAAGACGGACCAGGGGACAAAGGTGCTGCCCTGCCACGCTGGATGGTGGAGCCTGACAATTGAAGCTCTCTGGTCTCCATCCCTCATCTTGCTCTGTTTCTCTTCCCAGCAGCAAACCAGTCTGATCCCAGGCTTGAACCTCAGTGCACTCGGCATCTTTTCAACAGGGCTGTCTGTCCTGCCTCCACCAGCAGGGCCCCGCGGAGCTCCCCCCTACCACCCTTTCGCTGTAAGTAGCTCAGCACGCAGAGCCACCGCCTCGCACTCGGGGCGCCTGCCTCTGGGAGCAGCATCTCTGCTCTGCTGAATTAGAGCCAAGGGCTGGCTCTTGGGAAGCTCGAGGCCAGCTACCCGAGGGCTTTCCTCCTGGTAGGCAGCTGAGTGACTCATCTAGCCCTTCGAGCATGGCATAGTCACAGCTGGGAAGGGAAGCAGCCACTAGCGAGCCTGTTAATGGTGGTGGTGGCGTTTGGTGAAGGGGGGTCTTTTGGCTAAAAGAGGAACCTGTGCCTTCACGAGTGTTGGCAACTTACTAAAATACTAGGGAACCTGGTGATCCTTGGGATACATAGAATTGCCACACACGTCTGTACTTCAGATGCATATCTTACTCAGAAAGCCTTGGAGGAAAATGTCCAGCTTACGTGTGAGCGTGTAGGCACCCAGCACAGTGCCTGGCATCGAGTCGCCGATACCGATTTCCCGTTGGGACCCAAACGCACGACACGGGAGGAAGACGAGCTTGGGAGATGCTGTGCCCATGCGCAAGCAGCGTCTGAGGGCTGACACCTTACCAAACCGGGCCAGATGCTTAGCAGCCTCTTCTCCTGTGTGCGCATGCGCGCGCGCACACACACACACACACACACACACACACACACACACACACCCTTGGTTTTTAAGCAAACTTCACTCTCCCAGTGTGTAGGCTATTCAGGGGGGATGGGTCCAGTGGCTGGGCCTTCCCTTCGGACACTGCTTTCTTTTGAGAGGTGGTTTCGGGGGCAGGCACTGCCTGTGTGAATGCCTAGTAGCTCTTGGGCGGGTGGGCGGGCCGGGGAGTGGGGGGAGTATAGTCTCTCTAAAACACAGGCAGCAATTTGCTGGCACCCACCTCCAACTCATCCTGCAGTTGTGTGTGTGTACGTACCTCTTCCAGGTCCACCAACTCATCCTGCAGTTGTGTGTGTGTGTGTGTGTGTGTGTGTGTGTGTGTGTGTGTGTGTGTGTGTGTGTGTACCTCTTCCAGATCCACCCTGAATCTCTTCATTTCTGTACAGGTAGATCAGCTTTCCTCTAAGCTACAGAGCCCAGCATAGAGCCCTACCCAGCCCCCGGGGTGGGGGCGTGGGGGGTGGCTGGGGTGCATCAGGCCACTGCTCTGAGCAGCAGCAACAGCTGAGAGACACATGCCCCAGCTCGGTCTGCGCCCGTGGCATGGAGACAAGTGTCAATTCTTGGGGAGAAACTGCAGCAGCTTACCCCCATGCAGGCGGCCCTCTGCACTGTTGCTGGGTGCAGTGAAACCCATGCCGACTTAGGTGCAGAGCTGCCCTGCGGGGTTCTCCGGGCGCCATCCTGCGGGAGCAGAGCACCTCGCCTCCCTCCCACAGACTTGCTGAGTGTGTGTGAGCTGCCGGCTGAGTGTGTAACTGCCTGCACCACCAGTTCCCTTCCAATGGGGCAGAAGTACTTAGCAACAGACCCCTTCCAGACTTGATCGTCTAACTTAAGAGTTGGCACACATTCGCCCGCAGACTAGATCCAGTCTACGACTCCCGTGAGATGAAGCCGTGCGGGTCCACGCTTCCTAACCTGCTGTCTGCTTTTGCTCCCTGTGACAGACCCTTTGAACCACCAACCTTGGAGTTAGCAGCACAACCCTTAACCACTGTGCCGCCAGGACTCCTTTGACATACAATCGAATAGTTTCTAACTATTGGAAAACTGACATCTGATCTTTTTATTAAAGTAATAGAGTAACCGTTTTACTGACCTAGGTAGTCAGCCTTACACTCTCAGAAATAGTGGGTTTGACTCAGATGCCACTCCCTCTGTGAGCCTCCGTCCCACCACAGCTAAGGCAGTGGTCCCGCCTCTCATCTCTGCAGCTTCACCCTGTTCCCTTCTTCCCCCACATCTCTCTGAAGCTACCTGTGGTGTCTGCCTGCCCAGTGGGTATGTGCTGCGCACCCTCCCTCCTATCACTCCGAACTGCCGAGAAGAACTGGTCTGCCTTCAGGCATTTCAGGAGGTAGCAGACGATCAAGAACCAGGGGTCCTGAAGGAAGAAGTGCAAGGTGTGCAGAAGACATTAGCTAAAAACCAGGCTCCAGGACGTCACGGAATACCGAGTGAAATGTTCCAGCAAGCTGATGAAGCATTGTAAGCACGCGCTCATGTGTGCCAAGAAATTGGGAAGACGGCTGCCTGCCCAGCCAATGGGACAGATCCATAGGTGTGCCTGTTCCAAAGAAAGGTGACCCCCCCAGGATGCAGAACGTATACAGGAATGCTGAGCTCACATGCAAGGAAAACTTTTCTGAAGATGATCCCAGAATGGTCGCAGGCATACATCAAAGGGAGCTGCCAGAAACTCAGGCCAGATTCCGAAGAGGATGTGGCATTGCTGACATCAGAGGCTCTTGGCTAGAAACAGAGAATACTAGAAAGCTGTTTGCTTGTGTTTCGTTGACCGCAAAGGTTTTCAGCTGTGTGGAGCACAGCAGCTAACACTGAGAAGAATGGAAATTTCGTGACACTTCAGTGTGCTCATGCAGAACCTACACATGGACCAAGAAACAGCCACTCACACAAAATGAGGGGATACTCGGGTTCAGAATCAGGAAAGGGATGTGTCACTGCATCCTTTCTCCGTGGTTGTTCAATGTGTACGTTTTACAAATAATCCGAGAAACCGTTTTGTATGAAGAAGACTATGGCACCGGGTTTGGAGGAAGACTGGCTCACACTGTGATACGCAGGTGACGCGACCTTGCTCGCCAGAAGTGAGGACTTGCGGCACTTGCTGAGGAAGATGGAAGAGTGAGCCTTCAGAAGGGTTTGCACGTCGATGCCAAGGAAGCCACGTGCTCACAGCTGGACCAAAAGACAGCATCGTGATAAGCGGAGAGGTTTTCAATGGACTTGAGTCCCCAGGCAGTGCTGGGGACACAGCAGTCAGGAAATCAAATGGCACCTGGCAGTGGGCAAATCTGCTGCACGGGATTTGGTTAGCGCCTTACAGAGCAAAGGTGTCGCTCTGAGGACTCGGGCGCTTGACCCGGGCCAGGGAGTTTCCAGTCCCCACGGATGCTTGTGCAAGCGGGACCGTGAATCAAGACCAGAGAGGAACTGGTGCGCTTGAGTGAAGGCCTCGTCAGAGAGTATCGAGACTGCTGTGCACTGACGGAGCCACCGGACCCCGTTTGGGGGGAAGTCCAGACAGGATGCTCCTCAGAAGCCAGGCTGTCAGGAAAGGCCCGCCCCTGGGGGACCGTAACCCGGAGAAGTAGAGGGTCCTCAGACGCGAGGAAGACCCTCTGGGAGCTGGACTGGCAGAGGGGCCGCAGCCGTGTGAGGAGAGCGCCACTCGGTCCGTGTTTTGTTCTCGGCTGCGTGCGGCCACTCACTGCCACTCACTCGGAGGCGACTGGACGGCCCCTGACCACACCTCACAGTCACAAAGTTAACACGTGACCCTCTAAACTATATGCTGCCAGTCCCAGCTCCTAGCCCTGCAGAGACTGCCCTGTTTGGGCATGGGGCTTTCTGTGAGTGAGCACAGATCCAGTGACAGGTGTGTCTTCAGCCAGTCACCTTGGAAACAGAGGGGGGGGGGGGATGCCCCACCACGTGGAGATTGCCAAGGAACCAGGAACAGAAGCTGAGAAGGCAGGATCTTCCTTGCGAATCCACCCCCCAGGAAGCCTTCCCCGCGTGCGGTGCCCTGGTTTGTGGTGGTGGTGGTTGAGCTGCACCAGCCGAGTGGACACTCATGACGGCAGTGGCCTCTCTTCCCCACTGTGTGCGCCCGTGCTCGGAACAGCACCGTGTCCACGAAGAACAAAGCCACGCTCTGTCGTCAGGTTGGTATCGACTCTCAGCTACCCCTCGGAGACTGTAACTGCAGGAATAGAAAGCCTCGCCTCTCTCCAGGGGGACAGCCCACGGGGCGTCTCCTGAGAGAGCCTTGGAATATATAGGTGAACCCTTGTCACAGAACAGTAAGGTGTAGGCGCTACTTCTGTCCACTTGTGGACGAGGCACGGCAAGGATGAGCCCATCACGGTAACTTGTGGACGGTGATTCAGACTCAGATCTTCTAACTCCAGCACCATCTTTCAGACACAAAGGCCAACGGCAGGCCGAGCCTCAGTTAGAGCGAGGCTCCAGGCTTCTCCCCAATCACCTCCCGTTCTGATTCATGCAGAGAACGGGGACTGAGCAGTTTGTCCTTGGCCTTTGACCACTGGTTCATAAAACCTCTTCCCTACCCCGAGTGGGAGGTCGCAATCCAATACAGCGTTCGTGTTGTTGTGTCTTCCCGAGTTTGTGTGCAGGGACAGTCACAGGTTCACAGAATTTGTCCTGAACATTGACTTGGCAAGCAGAGGGGGCAGATGTGCCCTTTGCCCTGTGTGTCTGTGCAGAATAACTGCCCCACCGGCCTTGGCCCAGGCAGATACCAGCATAGAGAAGGGTCTGGCACTGACACACTCTCTTCCCCCACCCCCTCCACTCGCCCAAGGAATTTTGTAGAAGGTGGTAGGAACAGGGGAGCCAACAAGCCACCTGTTCCATCTTCCCTCAAAACTAGAGTTGGCCAAGAGAACACCAATCTCATACCACCCTCTTCTGGCCGTGAGGTGTCACTGCAGCGTCTTCCTGAGTCCTGAGACTGGAGACCCAGTTAAGCAGGGCTGAGGCCCCAGCAGGGCACCCACCCTCCCACCATGTTCACATCTGTGCCTTCTTCCTCAGGTCCCGAAGTCCAGTCCCTGAAAAGAGGAGCAGTTTGATTTTGTCCTGATGAGTCATGGGCAGGGTTGCACTCGAGCTCAGAGTAGAGCTGGGCATGCTTGTCTCCCCGAGACTGGTCACAGACCCCCCCAGTGAAGTCAGCTCCCTGACTTTGCCCGCCTGTGGGGCTGTCTTCAGCCCTTCACCTCCTACATAGCAGTGACCACGTTTGCGAGGCCTTGTGCAGAGGGCAGCAGCCGGCCTTGCTTACCCGGGTCATAAGAATATGTAAAAGCAAATGTATTTCTGTTTGAGAGACCATTCTGGGGATTCATAGCGTTTGCAGATAGAGCTGAAAGATCTATGCACAGTAACAAGAACTCACCAAACCCCTCCAACGCGTCGGTCCAGACTCCAAGTGACCCCACAGGGCAGAATAGAACTGACCTGGGCCTCCGAGGCTGTAAATCTGTGGGAGCCGACAGCCTTATCTTCTCCCTCAGGGCTGCTGGTGGGTCCGAACTGCTGACCTTGGGGGTAGCACTGCCGTGAACAGCCCACTGCACCATCAGGGCTCCTTTTTCAGACACAGTGGGAGTCAATGAAGAGCGGGCTTTCTCCATGCAGGAGGAATGAGCTCAGGAGCAAGCAGAGCTTCCAGAACAAGGCGAAGTAGGGAGCGAGGCAGTGGGCTTCGGGAAAGCAGCCGAGCGTCACAGCGGCCCAGTGCCGCTTCCGCAGCCGCCCCAGCACTGACCACTGGACACGGTTTCTTAACCACTCCTGATGACACCTACCTGTTTACCTCCTGCCCCCGCCCTCCGGCCCCCCAACTGTGACCTGTCTTCTTCCTCTGCATTCCTTCTCTGGACCTCTGAGGGCGCAGACCTGTCCGCCTGCCTTCCCAGGGGTGCTTGTCCTCCCACTTTCTGTTCCTTTCATCCCACAAGTCAAAGTGCTCCCACAACAAGCAGCCACTGCCCTTCGACTCTGCCAGGGCACAGAGAGAGAGATTGGGTCAGGGTGTGTGTGTGTGTGTGTGTCTGCGCGTGCACTTGTGCTCACACACAAAGGTGCTGTCCCCCGTGTGGTGAGTTCCTAGGAAGCGGTGAGGAGGTGCTGCTCCTCCGGCTGGGGGGGGGG